GGCAAGTCAGCTCCTGTCCCCCTGCAGACTGCTGAAATGAAATACTTGATTCACCATGTTCAGGTGTGCACACACACACACACTCTCTCTCTCTTCTTCCACACAGACAAAGGAAGGGGGGGCTCCCCTCACCCGCACGCAAGCGCACACTGCCAGTCTCTGTCGCTTTGTGAAAACCAGCTGGATGCGGCAGGCGGACGGTAACTTTCAGAACCCCGATACCCTGAACCTAAAGAACTTCCATCCCCCTGCCACGGCCTCATCTTAAGGCCAAAACGAGCTCTGTGCCCCCTCTCGCTGCCTGTTGGACACACACTCTCTCTCTCTCTCTCTTTTTCTCTCGCTTGGCAAGAATTGATGCGATGAACCACTTGATGTGAAAACAGATTGCAGCAAGCATGCAGGTATGCACTCTAGGGTTGGCCCACCCGCACCCACCCACCCACGCACGCACACACGCGAACAACCAGCCAAGTTGCAGCTCTGGAGCGACGGGCCTCTCACAGCATGTGCAAGAAACAACTTCGGCATCTGCAGCAGCTTCTGTCAGACTGCCTGACTCGTGCCTGAGCCCCTGGCGCATCGAGGGGCGGTGCTGGAAGTGGCCCTTGCCTTTTAGCATTGCCAAGGAAACTGGAGGCCGGCCAGAGGAAAACGAAGGAAGTCAAGGGATCAACGCTTCAGAGTCAATGTGTGAACAGGTGACCGGAGTGAACGAGTGCACGAATTCTGGGGCGGTGGCACGCTCGCAAGACCTGCCTGGGGTATCGGCGCATGCGGTAGTTCCTACCACACGTCCCGGCCGTCGAAGCAATGCTTCCGGGTCACACATAGCGGCGGGTAGTGTGCAGGATAGAACCTCAGCCAGGGCAGAGCTGTGAGCGATCCGTCGCTTCCATTGTGATCCTGATCCCGAGCTGTCTGTGGCTGCAACCACGACCAGGAACGGCACCCCCGGACGTAATAGTGCAGCACCTCACTTGTCGTACACAGCCTCTGCAGGACATGAGGGAACGCACGGTGTCAAGGACACAACGAAAAGAACCACAACAGAACATGTAGAACCCACATAAAACTATAAGTCAAAAGCTTTTTGCAAGATTCGTTGCTGCAGCAGAAAAGGAGCTGTCGTCAATGTGCAAGTCGATTTTTCAACGTCCGGCTTGCCGGCAAAGTGGTTGGTTTTACACAGGGAGGAATGGTTGAATAACCTGCAAAGGACACTTATGCCGCAACTGCACGCGGGAGTCGTGTTTTTAAATGTTGTGGCAGCCAGAAACACTGAAATCACAACTCCCGCGCTTCGGGACAGTCCACAATGGATTGACAATGGATGCATAAAGTTCAATGCCAGGAACACCAAAATTATGATTTTCGCGCACTCTGTAAGCCAGGTTCGACGCGCTTCCTTGCGATTTCCTGGAAGCCCAACAAAGTTCAACACCACAGGTATGTTTTTTGGGCTTATTGCGGCCAAAACACTGAAAAATCACGATTGCCGTGTGCTCGTGACCGTAATGCACAAGACGGAATGGTTGCATAAGTTGCCAGCAACCCTAAAACACAACTCCTGCCCATTGCAGCAAGGGATGGACCATCCCACCTGCAACGTTGCAGCTTCAACGCCCCCACCCCCCCCCCCCTCCCCGATGTTCTACGATGCAATACAATGCTCTGGTTCGGTCGGGATACACATGACGTATGCATGCTTGAAGTCTACCTGAACATACACGTTGAGCACCGATTGTTGCTGCTATGTCAATCCATGTCTAGGGACGTTGAGCATGGAAAGTTGCAGCCCTCTGTTTTTGTCGTGACGTGCCGACAAGCCAGCATTGTTCGCAGCCACACTGCACAAGCTCGTTTTGGAGGCCCTAAACTCATTAGGCACGGAATCAGGCAGGACCCCTGCTAGCGGCCCGGGAATGCCAAGGTTCAGACAAAGGCCCTGTGCTGGGAACGCGATTTCGGTGGTTGGGATGGGTTGGCGGGGAACAACCTAAAGCACCAAAATGAACCCTGAGCCCAGCTCCCCCTGGTCAGGGCCCCTAAAACCTATGTCTGCCGACGATAATGATACTGCGAAAACCATTAGAATCGATCTGGCAATGTAGCCATGTGAAGAAGGACCGAGCATCTGCAACACAATGAGAGATTGAGAGCTTATCGCGGTTCTCCAGATTCACCGTACTGAATATCCTATCGTAGATCGCACCTACCGTCAGCGGGAGATTCGCCAGACCAACGCGGCCTACTGTAAAGACAACTGGCACCGAGCCGCTGGCCCACTCAATCCCTGTCAGGAAAGCGACGCTTCGATGATGCCTCTGGACAACAACATGAAATTTGCGAGATGAACCAGGAAAAAAGGCGACTACAGTCTCCCACAGGAAACGCAAGGCCGTGCGACCACCCCAGGCAACAACTTGCAGGCCCCGGCTCGACTGCTGCGATGTTATCCTTCAGCCCGCGAGAGGTAGAGTATCAAGTGCCATGCACACAAGGCCATCGCTTCCAACAAACCGTGCTGAGAGTCGGCTGACGGTGAACCACTCGCAACAGGCCCCCCATATCGGGCGTAGTATTCCTGGACTGCCAACAACTCACTTAAATTGCCGCACTGCAGAGGATTGCAAGCCAGTCGCTGGTCGCAGCATCAACACTGCATCAACCTCGATTTTCTTTCTTCTATGCGAGACGTGTTCAACATGCAAAGTGCTTTCTTCCTGATATGCTTGCGCGACCTTTCTTGAAGTGCCGAGCAGAATCCAGTGCCGAGAAGCGCATCGACGAGCGGCAAGAAGCTCCAAGCACGCAGTTTGCCGTTCAACCTGCTCGCGCAAAGAAACTCAATTTAGCCTCTTTCCGGCACCATCTTTTTCTCTCGGCGCACCTGATCTTCTGACTCATCGGGACGTCGGCTGTGGTCGACCTTGTGGCGGACCCAGGCTTGACGTCCTTCTCCCCAAATTTCCAACAGCTCCGAGGACGCGAGGACCTGCACGAGCTTGGCCAGAAGCCATCACGACGCAACAATCGCAAAATGCACCTGCGCCAGCTGCGCTAGGTCTTGCATCCAAACCCTCAGTCTTCGGAACATGACGAAGACCCGCAGAGGTACATACCGATCCTCGGTGTTGCAAGCGGCATCGACAAACCGCAAACTGCCGCAAGTTTTCGGAATGTGTTGCCGGTCGGTTTCCGCATACTCAAGCTTTGTGAGGTCACGCGAAGCTGGCATTCTGTTGCTCGTTTCTCTTCAGGGTGCAGCTACACATGATTTCAGACCACATGCTTGGAGGATTGCCAACAGGAGGCTTCGCACTATTGAGCTGGATATGGACGGAAGTGTCTTGCTCTAGAAGAAGCATACGAATAGATGAAAGCAACAGATGCATCAAGAGAAGGGGACTGGCAGCGAGAGCTGCAATCCACTCGCTGTGCATTTTATCCGTTAAAGACATGTTGCGCAAACACATCAAAACTCACTGTCTTACCTCGGGGTCATTGCTTCTTTGGCTGGTAGCTCCCCTCCTTGAAACACCCATAGAAGAATTGCGGGGAGCTCCGCTTCTTAGTTTGTGAGTTTCCATGCCTGCCGCCTGAGGCATAAACGAGGCATCTTGTCGCCTGAGATGCAACATGATTTGGGGGTGTGTGAATATACTGTAGCCCATTGGCTTACCTGGGTTTTATGGCTCAGGCGGGAGAAGGTTCGTGGCATAGAGCCCTGTCGATTTGTATTTGCATCAGCCGCGTATTGCAGAGAAATGCGGCGACGTTCAATCAAGTTTCCAAATTCCGGTATATGAGCATTGGGGGCACATTGCCAGCGCTAGACATCTGACTTTCAAACGTCCACGCCGTACACATGGACCAATGTTGAACGACTTCACGCCGACGGAGAGTGTTTCAAACGACTCTAGTATTTCTTAATGGGACCTGGCAACCTAACAAGACAACATCCTGGTTAAGCAAAAGGTCTCTCCGCTGGCGGACATGTCTTCGAAGAAATGCATCATTCGGAAGATTCTCCGGTCCAAGCCTGAGTGCGATCTTCCCACAGCAGCGCAGGTTTTTGGAAACCCTTCGACAAGTTGGCTTGCACAAAGCGTATGCCAGCATAGATCCCCAAAGAGTAAAAGAGCAACAGGACGACCATGACATCCATGACAATGACATACAACGACTACGTAGGACCACCCGAACCGCCACTAGAGACCACCCAAACACCACCAGGACACTAGCAGGAAACCCCATCAGGAAACCACCAAACCAGGGCCAAAGTCCCCAAGTACTGGCGGCCTGGCGGGATTCGGCAGCACGGCCACGAGACTTCTGGATTCAGGAGCACGCTCAAAATGCTATCCGCGAAGTACCGGCGCCCTTCAGGAGCACCGCGCTCGGATTCGAGCAGCCAAAGCCCACATAGTGCTGCGGCGGAGGCCAAAAGCGCGAATGTTTTAGAGCTTACAATGAATTTGCCCGTCGGGAACGGTTTCCGGCGGATGCTGTCAAAAATAGGATGCAACTTTAAGAACGTGCACCGTGCCACAGAGGGAGCCGTGATGCTTTTCCGCGCTTGCAAGCTAACCCTCAGCTAACCGACTCTCTGTATGCTGAAAGTTGGAACCCCATAGCGTGAGTGTTTGGGACCAATGCAAAAAAACAGCAGGCCCTCCGAAAAAACACAAGATTCATCAGGAAGGGGCCAATACTCGAACGACTCTCGGACGGACCGGTTGAGCTCCTCCCGCCAGTTCACGGCCTGCGCAGGGTAGCTTTCCGGCAGTGAGCCGCCAGCATCCGCCAGCGCTCTTGTCTTGCCTCTGCCGGCTCTGGGGGCGACTCTTCGAACTGCAAGCCACTCGGTACCGCCCAGGTCACCTCGTGAAGAGGTCCATCCAGCAAGACCGTTGCTAGCTGCTACCTGTGGCCACCTGCAGGCGCTGGGTCTCTATGCGGCGGGTGGCTACCAAAGTCCGGACCTTGGCTGCATGTTGCCCCTTTTTTCGCAGTGCGCAAGTGAGCAGCAACTCATCTCAACTTGAAACTCAAGCATCTCTGCTTGCCCGCCCACTTGCTGCATCAGTAGACGGAACTGTCTGCTCTGGGGGTTCTGCAGCAGACGCCGGTTCAGCGAAACAAACCAGCCAGGAAGAAGGTCCTTTTCCGGTGCCGGAGCGAGCGCGAGGGAGGGAGGCAGGGAGGGGATGAGAAAAAGGTGAGAAGCATGGAACAACATCCACAAAGCAAGAGGCAAGGCGAGCCGCAGCACAGCGAGAAGCCAATTAAAAACAACTTAAAAGAAACAAGAGCAAAGCCCCACCGTCCTCGCGACTGCTTCAGTTGGTGGACGCTCTTCACGATGCAGCCCTGCTTTGACATTGCCGCCTCACTTTTCGAAACAGTGTACTTATGACACTTATGGGAGGCAGGGCAGATCTGCAGCCCCCTGAACTTCCAAATTGTGAGTGTTGGAGTAATGTGGAACTGGCGGCATTCAACTGGGGAGGTCAAGCCTAAATGTTCTGACCTTCGGACTGACAGCCCCTTTATTTCGAAGGTTTAATAGGGCTCGCGGGCCTTCAGCGACCACGCAACTGGAAAACGAGTCCGAATCCAGCAGAGGAGCCGAGAGTTGTGCTGCGGTGGCCTTCCGCGGCACAAGAGATACGATCACGGACAAGCCGTCCCAGTTCGAGGAAGGGGGCCCAGGGCCGCGGTAGGGCAGCTGCTTTGGACCCCAGCCGAGGCCAAGCATGTCCAGGAGGATCTCGGCTTCCTCCTCCAAAAAAAAGGACTTGCTTCAACGCATTACGAGCCTACAAGACTTGCCTGTGCGACCGTCTCCAGCAAGCCACCTGAATCAAAGCTTTCTTTCGATGCCGGTCTGTCCTACGAGTGTGTGCAGGGTATTCTTTGATGCTAGACGCATGGAGCGGTATGAGTGCTGTCAGGAATTGCAACAAATCCGTATGCAGGCAAGGACCAACATCGTAGGTCAGGGCGGAAGTGGTGCGGAAAGACTACGGCTTCATTGCTTTTGGAAGGTGGAACCCAACATACCAGGGCAACTCCATGGGTTCCTGCCCCGTTTGTGAGCAAAAAGCGTTGCGTCTTATTGAGTCAATGGCAAGCCGCGCCATCGGGGCAAGTCCAGGGTGAGGTCTGCTGTGGTCAAATACCTCAAGCAGCTGGGCAGCACAACGTCCTGCAAGCACATCTTGCAACCAATCATGACCAGTCGCCCGTTGACTGCAGGCTTAAGCTGGTAGTAGGCTGCTAGGAGCTTGTCCAGGCCGCCATCGTAGATGTCGACAGCTGCTATGTGGGGCCTAAGTTGCGTTGCCAACATGGGTGAGCCCATCGGAGTTACCCATGCAGTACCTTCAACATCCTTCAACTCCTCTGCCTTGCCGTTTGTGCCAGGCTGTGACGAGGCGCAGGAAGTCATTCCCAACCAGGCAGCACATCGCCACAAAGTCGGCTAGCAGTCGATTCCTGAGAAAACACCCTTTAGTTGTCAGCAAGCAGGCCTTGCCATGCAGAGGCAAGTCATACACAAAGCGATTGGCCTAATACAAGTGGCTGGTGGCTTCCCTTCATCTAAGCGACGGTAGACAGTCCGGGAACTGGCTGGACAGCCACGCGCGCAGCGCCACGATGCTCAGCATCTCATAGTCCTCTTATCTCGTCGCCACTTCAGTCGATAAAAACAGGCGCTTGTACCGAGTCGCGGCAACCGAAAAGCGCAAAGAACAAGGTGCCCTTTGAAACCTGAACTCCAAGTATTATCCCATGGTCCCGCCTCAGCCATGGGCCCTGCTGAGGCTGCAGGCTCAGGTACCGGCAGGGCGTCCGAGTCTGGGGCCTCTTGAACGTCCGCGGCCTCCTGCCAGAAGCAAAACAAAACCAGAGTCCGGAAATAAGCGATTCAGCTGCACCTGAGATGGCCCGGTGCGCACCCTTTTCTCGTAGTTGGGCTTCGTTCTCAGCAGGTACACGTGCTCGGATTCACACACCAGCCCGAGGAACACCAGATCCTGGCGCAGCTTCCACCAAACACTCAGGCAGATGTACTCTCCAGTCTTATTCTGGGCTACTCTTGGGGCGCATCAAATCCGAAAAGCAGCAAGGCGTCGGCATCATTGCTGCAAAGGCAGTGGGTGTGCTCCGGATGGCTCCGAATCACCTCCATGATTTTGTGCTCGCCTTCGCCTGCAGCCAATGAGCTCTCTGTGCTTCCTTTTTTGAAGCCCTGACTACAACTCAAAAGCAGCCTGGATCGCGATCGCAAGAGATGACTATGCTCAGTCCTTGCAGATCGGGCACTGCAGCCTCCCAGAGAAAACAGCAGTGGAATTTGACACGACAGGTCTTCGGGAAAAAGGATGAAAAAGGTAGGCTGCCGGTATGGTATTGGACCACGAGCTGGAGGGGTATCGTGTGCTCTGGATCGACGCTAAGCTCACAGATGCCCCGTAGCCTGATAGGCGGCCCAGAGCCGTAGCCGATCCGACAAGCGCTGCATGAAAGGAGTCCTCGGCTTGGCTCCCAAGCTCTGCCCGAGACCATTTTCACACGTTTTGCAGCGGCACCCAGGTGTGATGGCGTTCCGATCCTCAGACCGCTGCCCCAAGACAAGCTTGCACGACCATGTTTTTGCGAGTGGACTTGCACGACGGAAGTGCTGAGGCAGCCGCGAAGACATCAATGACAGCATCGATACCATCCGAATCCGTCTCCTGGGCTTTCCGAAAACGCCTCAGTGCACGGAGGACGGGGTCTGAGGGGCCTAAAAGCCAGGTCAAAGCAACATGACAAAGGATTCAACGGACAGTAGCCGCAGTAGCCATACCAGAACGGGTGGCCTTGATCTCTGCTGGTTCATCTTCGCCCTTGGGGCCACCCCATCCAGTGCGACATAAAGCAGAACCTGTCAGGCACATCTCTTTCGTCCCTTGAACATCCCTGACGTGCCCTGCGCAACTGTGGCAAGCCTTGGGAGTCACCAGGGATAACAGCACGGCGAGTTGCGCCTCCAGCTTCAGGGAGATGCTTGCAACGGCAATCGGAGCTGGTGCTGCAAGCCTCAATGAGCTGGAAGAGGTAGTCCTCCTGCTCCTGAAGCGTCCAGTCATTCACACAGGTGTGGACGACACCGTTGAAGTCCAAGTACCTCAAGAGCGTCACTGCTACGCAAACACTTATCCACGAAGGTCCGATCGATAGCCTGCCCTCACACCTGACTGCAACCGGGTGGCAGGTTGTCAAACCTAGGCTACGTAACATACCGATCTTGCACACCATATTGCCTACAAATGCGTGTTAGTCGCCTTACCATGCAGATGTAGAATCTACACCGTGACGTTTCACCACCTTTGCATGCAAAGCCACGACACTTGATCGAATTGACTGCTGAGCACTATCTGACACTTTGGCATGTTTTGAAGTCCAGGGCGCTCGTACGGGGGCCCGGTGCTCTTTGCTCGCAGATGAGGTACTCTGCGCACTGCCCACCGATAGAAGCCAGGTACGCCCATGGCTTGTGCAGAAGAAGGGGGAGTGGATGTGTGCTTTTTCGCGGAGGAGCTTCAGACACGAAATGATCTCCAAACCAAGGTATGTCTACAGATGGGCTGGGGAGGTGCAAAGCAAACACGCTTTACTTTCTTCATTATGCATATTGAATGATACAAGAACCCCTTGTCTGCTAAGCAAAACGCCTGCAGTTCAAGCTGAACTTCATGCGCTTGGGCAAGCAGCACTGCGAGCTGCGTGCTGAAGGTGGTGCTTCATCTAGAACTTAAACACTTAACCTCTGCTGTGGTGCTGGAGCTACCAATATGCTGCCTGAAGGAAATCCTAGACCATCTCAGAGCAAACCGAGGACGACATTGCTGTTATTGCGGGGTCGCTTCCGCTGCACTTTGTGAGGAGTCGAAGTGAAGCGCCCCCCAATTTACCTATTGACAGCGCAGAGCGGTATGACGACGGTCATCTCGAGAGTGGCATTGAGGACGGTCGGTGCACGCCTTCGACTTCGACGAACTCTCAATCCTCTATGCCTCCATGCACTTTCACGTAGTTGAGGCTCGAAACCTCCTCAAGCTCGGGATGGTGAAACGAATGGCATTGGCCTTTACATGCCAGTGACACTTGAGCCTTCGGTACAGAAAGGGTGGGTCGCCCTAACATTATTCGTACACCTGAAATCAGCACTCATAGATGGGATAGTCAATTATCTCATGGCATGTCTGGTATGCGCTTTGGCCCTTCACACAGCCGCTTGGCCAGGGACTTGTAGTCGAAAAGGCCTGGAAGCCAGGGTGCTGGCAGCGCAGAACACTTGTGACTAAACCAGCACTCAGGCTGGTTCAGTGTTTCGACGCTCACAGTACCCAAAGCGCATGTGCAAAGTGCTGGAACCCATTGGAACCCCATACATCCAGACGGTTGTGCGTTGGCTCCTGAATTGCGACATGCTCTTGGCATCTCCTCCTATCCAAGCTTTATCTTCACCGGCTTGCTACACATCTGGACAAGTGCTGCTGTAAATCTAGTATATAAAACGTGGCACGAAGGGAATTGAAATCCAGCACCCGAGTGCGAGCAGGAAGCGCAGCAGAAAACTTCACGGTCTCTGGTCAAAGCTCATGCCAGGCCTTTATCATCCACCTCCGCCTCCCTCAAGATGGCATCCACCTGGAGGCATGCAAAACTCATCATCGACAGCAGGAAGCTGCCGTCGCAGCACAGATAACTCCGCCCGTTGATGGTGTTCTGCACTGTGCTAGCTTCCAGAAACACGAAGCAAGCGACATAGCCCAAACTGTCTTGCAAAAGAATAGAGCCTTGGGGATAAACGATCTCTGCGTTGCGACAAGGCTGTCCTTTGCGAAGACTGCTAATCCTTCAGCACAACCACTGACCCTGACAGAAGCATGGGGCCCTCCGCCATGCCCAGAAGCGGCCAGGTAGGCGTGGGCACCCCGAAAGACCTTGAAAGACCTTGAACCGCGAGACCCTGAGATCCTCCTGGAATCCTCTGAGAAGTCACAGGGTCAGATCAAGGGGAGAGTTCTTGAGTTGGCTGCGATGCACTACCGTCACTTCGCGCGAAGCGTGCCTCATGCTCCTGCATGGGATCTCCGAGGGATGTCAGCATCTCCTCCCATTTCCAAACATGCTCAGGATACCAACTGGGCCCATACCCCCACCACGGAAGTCTCACGCAAGTTAGACGTAACGTGACCAGGGCTTCTTGTTCGAACCCAACTGTACTGTCTCGCTCTCGTGTCTAGCCAGCCTTGAACTTCTCGCGGCTCATGATGCCAGTGTCCTCCAAGTCGAAAACCTTCCAGGATGATTCCCGAGAAAAGGATGCCTAACTCCGTGAGCGTGCCAAGTCTTTCCGAACACTCTCGACGAGGCTGTCTCGGCGGTCCGAGGCTCCTCTTAATCTTCTTCCCAGTGACGCACAGCCCCCTCCCTACATTCGTTGTCTTGTGCACTCTGAACCTGCTACAAGTACATGAGTTCCGATGCGGAGACTACTCCTCACCTGCGACCGGGCCGAGGCGGACGACCCCAAGCGTTCACCAGAAAGTTTAGACTGCATGCTGCTGCTCGTAGTGCACCTGGAATGCCTTCAGAAGTGTGTCTTCGGTCGTTGGCGTCCTCGCAAACACTGATAGAAACTGTCGCTTCTCACCGGCCGTCAAGGCGTCCCCAAGCCTGTAGTTGCCTTTGAAGAACCGGATGAAACCATCGACCTTACAAAGAGGCCAAGTCGCCGGATCAGACAAGGGTCTTACTTGTAGGTCGGGCAAACACTTCTCACCGGCTCGGAAAGTACTGTCCAGGAAAAATGGTCATTTAAGTTTCATACAGAGCATTTTTGCCTATGACGTCCGAGGTGCATCCAAGCCCACCTGTGGAACTGGTCTGAGCATCTCCGCCAGCTCCTCCAAAGGCAAGGACTGAGAAGGCTCGGTGCCGGTTTTCGCTGAGAGACACGAGTCGACAAAGCATCGACAAAGCAACCTTGGATCTGTTAGGCAAAGCAAAACTTGATGCCGTCCTCGTCTGTGGGGTTTTGCCCGAATGCTCGGAAAAGGATTCCCACCTGTGAGGCTGGCACTGCCAGTCGCCCTCAATCAAAGCGAGATTCTACTTCCTTGATCAGGCCTGCTGCGGATTGAGCCGTCCTCACATGGCACGGTACGCAGCTGCGACTAAGGCATACAATGGGCTCATCACGTGGCCTGTCTTGCTTTGATCGAGCAATTTAAAGTTGTCGACGACTTTTTCATACTGATCCTGACATGCAAACCACTTCCATAGCTGCAACACAGTTTGGAAGTGTGCGCTTCGCACAGACCCTGCCTGTGAGAGTTCAGCCTCCGGGTCGTCCAGCTTGATTTCAAAGCCGGCGCCTGTCGGTCGGTAGCCGAGGGGGCCACGCTACGGTCTGACGCACTTCTCAGATCTTCTGGGTTGACTCGTTGCAGCTCTCACTAATTCTCACCATCTCTCCCTCGATCCACTCTGGCTCACCAGCCATCGCAAAGCCGCGGCGAGTTTCACCTTCGCGGCAACTGTTCGCTGATCTGCAGGAAATGCATTCCAAGTCTCTGCCATGCAGAGAAGCTTATGGGGTATGTCGGGGCGGCGCCTGCGGACCATCTGGACACAAACAAATGCGAATTCTGTTCGGAGATACACCGAGCCAAACCGTGGAACGTGCGTGTCAAGCTTGTGCAGGCATGGTTCTGAACCTCGTTCAGACGCTTTCTGAGGCAACAATAAGAGGCATAACTTATTGACAGCGGACAGCTTCACATGTCCTGTGCCTTCTGCAGTACAACCAGAACCACCCGCAAATACATGCAAGGGCATGCAAATCTCGGAGAGCAACAGCAGCGACTGTGTCTTCGCCGATGGCTTTTGTCTTGAGCACGCAATGACCGTCGTTCTAAAACGGATGAAACAGCTACATTCCAGACCGTCAAGGGCTTCAGCCAAGTTCTGTGTATGGGTTGCGGGATGGATGGTCTTTCACACGTCAGGAGCTTCTGGTGCAATCATGCTGAAGCGACTTGCGGCTCAGAGAAGCATACAACGTGAACATCTTCCAAGGCTATGCCTGCAGAACTTTCAGAACGAAGCAGATGGGCACACTCAAGCTGCAACTTCACTGGCTACCTGTGGGCCCCTGTGGCTCTGTTGCACTCTGTCCACTGCACTTCGGAAATGGCTTGAACACGACTGGTGGGACTGTCCGTTTGCCAGGCCTCGCCAACGACAATGCCATCGTCCACCAGCTCCTGGCACCAAAACTGAGACCCCTCTCGTCACCACGGCCATCCTTCTCGCTGATTGCACGAAAAGCGTCTGTCGATTATCGTACAGTCGAGACCTTACCATCTCGACAGGCATGGCACTCTCGGTAGTCCTGGATGTAGGGCGGCAGCTGTGGAGCTGCACGAGAGTCCTCCGCTGATCCACAGGGAGGAAGGTGCAGGGCGAGCAGGCAGTTAGCACATACACGGGGAAGAGGCAACTGCGGTTCTGTGCTGAATAAGCACTTTTGCTTTCTGAATCCATGCACGTCTTTGCTGTAGCATCCAAGCAAGCTAAAGCAAGCTGCACGGGCCTGGAACCACGGATGTTCTAACGCCGCGGAGGCGGTAGGTCTCTGGTTTTCTTGGTACCTGAGCTGGTTGCGACGGCTAAGCGGCTCATTCATCAGGTTGCAAGCTATGCAAAGCAAAAGCCCACAGCAAACACGTAGACCTCTGAGGCTCTTGCGCAAGCATGCGCATGACCTCGTCAGCTGGACAGAGCTGACCCGCAGCTGATGGAATTCAACTGACTCTACATACTATCTTATCACAATTCCAGGCGTGAGGCGCTTGGGAGCACTGTAACTTACCGATCGTGCTGAGGTCCGCAATATTGCTTCCGGTTCCACTTCGGGATTCTGAGTCTACATCTCACAAGGCAAAACCGAAACGTTGTCAGCATTCAGCCCTGACACGTGAAACGCCGCACATCCCGACACACTGAGGGTGCTGCGAGGTCACCAGCTTCGCTGTTTTCTTGGAAAACCTCCTTGGAGAAGTCCACCTTTGAAACTTAGGATCTGAGTGCTACACAGTCCAGTGCAAACTTCTTGGCACAAGCTGCGAATACACACCGGGCCTTGGCCACTTTCAGCCTTCGCCGAATTTGGGCCATCTTGGGGCTGCCGACCCAGTTCTCGCCAGCCTGCATCTCCGCAGTCGAAGAGCGCTTCACAGTGCGACTCATGGCAGAAGGCGTGACAGTCGACTCCTCGATTGCGGGTCTTGTGTCTGTAGTGCCTCATCATCGAACATATCGTCGTGAAACGGAAACTTTCCTGTCAGAAGGTTGAGGTCTAAACCGAAGCAGTTCAAGAAGCAGCATGAGAGGGAAGGACAGATACACTGCAGACATGATGCAGACATGCCATGAGTGCCGGGTGAGGACGTCTCAGAGGAATTGCTGATTCTGCGGTCGCTGTGCCGCTCGCCCCCTTGACTCAGCCAGTCCTGTCAACAGTCTGTACAGAATCACCCCGCAGGCAAAGATGTCCGAGAGGGGGGAGTACCTGGCAGCAGCACCGCTGACGCCCCGGGTAGAGGTTCAACTACTCTCCGCCGGTGTGCATCTGCATTGCGCAAGTGAATTTCACATGATGCTGCTGGCATACAATAAGACCGAGCGCACTTGCCGGCATAGGCTTCCTTGGCACATTCAGTGGCAAAGCAAAAGCTCTGTCCCGCCCATGCAGGTGTGCGTGAGAGAATGCTTGGTCAAGCGCCTGGGATATGTATTGGTCGGTGCCAACCACATCCTCCCACAATTCCACATTCGGTCAGTGAAATGGAACCCAGACAGCCTAAAGTCTAAAGTCTAACTTGCGCCCTGGTGCCTTGGCTGAGGCATTTGAGGGGCACCATGATTCCAGGGTATCGAAGTCGATCACCTCGCGGGCTCTGTGCCGACTTGACAGACGAAAAATCTAGAACGAGGGGCTTGTTGATGTTGGGTCGTGTGAGCTGAAACTGATGAGGGGCCACTTCCAAACGATGAAACTTGTGAACATGTGCTACAGCAACTGCTTGAACTAAGTGAGCTAAAGGCATCGCACACTGTCACCCAAAGAAGTGGCCTTCACCGCTTGTGCGGGTAAGCTTGACCTCGGCAGGGCCAAATCAAACCACACCGAGTAAGTTGACACGGAGACCGCAGCGTTCTTGGCTTCGGCATGCCGAGTGGCAAGCTCCACCCGCCCAACACCTGGGGTCCAAACTTCGAAGGTTTGCCTTCGCCGCCAGCATCGAGCATCACGTTCTCCAACTTTAAATCCTGGATCTCCGTGGACTTTTAGCAACCGCTGACTAGCGACCAGCCCATTACGTGAGCACCGGCACAAGAGCTGCAGCTTGCTTCAGGATTGCATGATCAACACCCGCCTTATGCACAGCACCGCGCGAATGCAAAAACACCAGCGACCTGGCACGAAGCTCACAGATTTAAATGTGATTTAAAGCTGGAGGAAGCAACATACGTGTAAACGGGATGATTTTCGAAGCATTTCGCCAGTCATCCCTGCGAGATGCTGCCATTCTGAACATTTCTGAACGGCTGGTTGTGGGTCGTATGCAACGGAGGTTTCCAGATTTAGGCTCTAGACGACAACACGTGCAAAGTTGGACTCCAACAGCTGACGCATGATCTCCCGGGTAGTGGCCACCTGTGCGCATGCAGCAAAGCACGGAAAAGCTGGCAAAAAATATCAAATGACGGTTCTTTACCAGCTGTGAAGTCAGTGCATCTCTGTCTTGAGACGGAATACTACTGACCAGGGCGGCTTGTGCGGAGGAACAGCACTAACCCAGTGCGAGTTTGTTACAAACCCACAATGTTACCAGGAAAGTAGATTCGAGGAAATCAATACAACATATCTTCGGACCAAAGCACGGGAATCTTCCGCATCTGCTCGAGAGTCTCGAAAAGGTCAAGACCACCAACCTGGAAACCAAGCGGTAGCTGGCAACATCTACAGCGGCTTCTTTCGGAAAATTTCGGAAATCAGCTCCGCTCTTGCCGTCGACAGCACGTTACACAAGCTTTTTCTTTTTTCACATCACTCGCACTCCATGCAGAGATATGCACAAGTATCGACAAGTAAATATTAAAGGCGAGCTGTGTTGTTCCAGTCACGTATTGCGACTTCGAATGAAAAGCGACAGCGCTGCGTTCTCTCAGAAGCCCATGGCATGCCAGATGGGAGCCAGGGAGACTTTGCGAAGGCCAGGGCCCACAAAAGGGGCCACCAGGGCAGATTTTTACCTTCGACCAGGGCGCTCCGGTGCACACTTCACTTTTCTCCTCACAATAAACCGCTCTAAAAGTCCTACCAAACTGCGCTTTTGCTATTTCTCCGTCAAGCCGAACCGCTCGTGTTTCGCGAAGCTTGCCCGGCAGAGTGGGCAAGTGGCCTCGCTGCTAATTGGCTACCAGGTCCTAGACAACAGAAAATTATGCACAATGGCCAGCGCAAACACCCAGCACTTGCAGACCAGATTCTGACATCGTGTGTCCTGATATTGACCACTTCACGATGCAGTCCTGACCAAATGTGTTGTTCGACAATGTATCTTGCCCGGTGTTTATTGCCGAAAAGGCATTTGGGCATTTGATGTCGACCTCGAAAGGTGCTGGACGTAACTGTTTTCATGTTCCCCAGAGACCAACTCCATACCCAGATCGGAAAGCGGGTCAACCCGTCTTCTAAACTGTCTGAACTCATCCCGCTGCCTCGCCTGGCACCCCCACAGTTGGAGCACAGTAGTCCCGATGTTCGGATAGAAAGCAAAGACTGCGAGAGAGAGAGAGAGAGAGAGAGAGAGAGAGAGAGAGCGCAGAATCCTGTAGCCTTTCGTCGTTAATCAATAAGCAATCCTGGTGGCCAGCATTTGCAGGGACTTGCAGGGGTTTGCAGAAGCACTGGGCATCTATATGCTTCAAATCAAGCAAAACTGGCGCTGCTCATCTGCGTCCGTCCACCTCTACAGCGACAGTATTCAGTGAACGTTTCTCACACAAGACTCAGACATGCATTCCGATGTGCGACATGCATCGCGCATGATGGCGCGGGGGCTACTCGCTTCTGTTCAGTCATCGGCTAACCGTTAATGTGCAAGAGAGCCCACAGTCTTCCTCTAGAGTTCCAGAGCTCCGCTGCGAAAGGACTGACCGCACTTCTTGACCCTCGGCATGTGCAATGGCAACACTTTCAGGCAACTCCTCACAGAAGGTATGGCTGCAAGGCAGAACCGCCACAATGCAGCCCTCCTGCGATCACAACAACTGCCAAGCGAAGAACACGAATTGCCGTGGCATGATTTCTCGGCAGACTTCAGATTTGTCCTGGAATTCCTCGTGGCAGCACCAGCAATGCACAGAAGATGTGCAGAGCTGCTCTGGAAGCGTCACAAGCCCCAATGAACCTGGTCGTGTCTGAGCTTACAATGCAGCTCGCGGCAGCAAGGGGCACGCACGGCTCCGCGTGTATTTGCATCTGGTCATCACTTTCAGCCTGAGTGCTGACTGGGTGTCGCCCGCGCCTTGGAACCACGGTCATCCCGACAGATTGACATCCTTGGCAGAGCACCAGCACGTCTTGCATCTTCGAGCTCCAGTGCTTACTGAGCAGTTTGACAGGTCTTGATGTCGACCATTCTTCACTGCACCTGTCTTTGTTTCATCGCCTGACTAAGCGTTGTCATCACTGGCATGCCCTGGACCTGGACCCAAGTCTTGAAACATGAGAGTAGGCAGAACGAGTCCAGTCTTAAGAATACAAGAATTGCCGCCAAGCTTCATCTGCAGCACTGAAGGCTCAGGTTGGCCCTCAGCGATGCACCCAAAGCTTTCTTCAATCGTTGAAGGGTCACTGCAATGTGAGAACCAACATCACAGGCAGCAGTGCCACGGGATGATCAGAAGGCACGCGCCACATGACCAGCAACTCAACTTGCAGTGACATGCGTAATTGGCCACCGTATGCTGTGTGGACCAGTGGCTGCAAAGCCATAGGCAGCTCTTGCCCAAATTCTCTCCTGTTGACCTTCGATGACATCCTGAGCCGGCAAATAGGAGCGCGAGGCTGCCAAGCACGACATACCAGGCCTGCACAATACTAGGCGGGAGCTTTGCCGTGAGCCGGTCCAGGGCAGCTGCAATCCTTCCAGATCAACTTGTCCAAGTCTACAGCAAACTCCAATGATTATGAGTCGGTCACCGATAGCCGGTGGATGTAGCCAAGCGTCAGGAAAATGGCCGCCAAGTGTTGTGTCACCCAGCAAGTCACGCCTGACTGGGAGGAGGCACTTCGCCAAGCCGGCCGCATTTCTCTCTGCAGCCGAAAGACCCAGCGCTGTACTGTGGTTGGCAGGGCCCGCCTGACACATGCAACACAAAGAGTTGAGTCTGCAACAAAAACGCAAAGACTCAAACGCATCCAGGTGTCCAGAAGGTGCAAGCAGCCAGCTGCTGCAAGTTGAAGGTAGGACTTCTTCTCCTGGGCCATACTCTTACTCTTACTCTTGCTTGGCGACTGTAGCAACTGCACCTACAAAGCAACAAAGGGCAAGGACGGTGCCCTATAGAGCCCTGGAGTCCTGCATGCACTCAGTCGGAGCTGCAAGCCTGACGGCAGAGCTGTGCACCCTCGAGCTGCGTCTGCCGGACTCTCTGGCTCTGGCCTGGTTTGCTCGCATGTGTCCACTCATCGCGGGAGGCGGTTGGGGAGGCGATCGCTTGAGCCGCCAATCGCCGCTCGGCAACGACGCATGAAAAAAAGACGCATCTGCCATCCGACCGAGGCAGGCACCTTCTCCATGACTATGTAAAAGGCCGTGGGGTCCTGCAGACCAGTTGCGCACAATTTTCAAATCGATGGTGGCTGGATGTTGGCTCTTCGAAGGTCTTGGCAGGAATCCTCCATAACCTCGTAAATCTTTGCTACGCCGAGGTTCTGAGGCAAGTTTAGCAAGAACCTGAGATGAGCTCGTGCTGACTCGGTGCGTTGCTAATGCCCGACCCGGGCTCCCCACTCGGTGTTCTGCCGCCACTTCTTCTCATCCTGAAACGTTTGAAGTCAGCATTGAAAGCTGTTTGATGTCACAACGACATTGCGGGCTTGGCCTGTCTGCTCCTGAAGCAGCTGGGCTTGAAGCGCACTTTCACCACTACCTCGAAACAGACATTGGAGTGGTTCTGCATCATCGGTTGTCAGATGCTGTTATATTGCTTTGACATCACGGGTCTGGTGAACGGGACACTGCGACCAACCCTCCATGCCTCTTGTTTGTCCGACTTTCGGACTGCAAAGTTCACCTGAAAGCCGACTTCTGCAATCTTTAGCGAACTGACTGCGTCTCACCATGTCCTCTCTGATGCAATTGCCTGGCTCTGGGCTCCGGGCCTTCATGTACCTATGCGTTGAAGGCATGACTTCCTTGCCCATGTCGTAGTAGTCTCCAAAGCTGGGCACATTTTGGATGGTCCTCTCACTAGTGGGTCGTAGCACTTCTGATTCAACCACGTGCCCCTTCCTGCTTTCCGACTGTCAAGTCGCAAAGTCTGCACGCAGAACTGAGTGTCGGCAGTGCAACGGCCCATGACACGCCAGATCAGAGCCATGATATGTAATGCAGAGATCGGTGTACTGCAGCTGCTGCTAACAGGATACTGCGCAAGCACTTCTTCTTGCTCCCTTCCCTCCGGAATTACTACTTCTGGCACAGGTCCTCAGAGGAGGTGGCCTGTCAAGGTCAGTTCGGAAGCATGTTTGCAAAGGGGGGCAATCGAATCCGGAAATCGAACTCCAGCTTGCTGGCTCTTTGGCAGGGAGAGACCGCTTTGCGACCGCATGCAGTAGAGCTTCGAAAGCAAGTTCTGGGAATGAAAAATGCTGCCTGGGAGGCGGCGCCGATTCACGGGTAGTTGTGTGGTGAATCTTCCTGAGAATCTCAATCTCGAGGCCAACTTTCAGAGCTTGATGCGAGACACCATTTGCTGAACATGAAGATGTTACTTCTCAAGACTGGTCGCATATGGAAGACAAGCTCCAGGCGTTTCGGACAACCACGATCCACTATCCACTAAGATCTGGCAAGGCTCCCGTAGCGGGCATGCAGCGATTGTGACGATGAGCTCATGGCAAGGGCTCCCACAGTCCCAAATTCACTCGGCACACCTTCCTAGGAGCATTGGCTGGGGCTGGCGGTTGGCTAGGGTTTTCTCTTGGGGACGAGTACAACCACGCGGTGTTCGTGGCACAACTTTTCAAAATTCCCTCTTCTGGCCACCGTGAGAAAGGCGACTGGCTGCATGCCTTACAATTTCCTTGTCTGCACGTCCTGGCCTCATGAATGTTCCCCCTGTATCATGGTCTGCCTCCAGCATTGAGCCATGCGGCGGCGGTCCCATGGTCTTTAGCGAATTACTGTTGCTGCACGTAGCGCATTGCTTGGGGGTGGAAGTACTCAGACTCCCGACACACAAAGCAGCATATCGCACGTGCGATCCACTGCACATGGGTCCAATCTTTTCGGGTTTTTGCACGGGCCGTACCAAGCCTTTGACTCTCTGCATGTTGTAAACACAGCTGGATTGAGTCAAAGCGTGCACAAACGTGGTAACCTTCCAACACCTCCGTACCAGAACATCTCTGAGAAGGATCCTCCTGTTGAATCGGGAGGTCTGACTGAAGCTTCCGCATTCTGCCGACCGATCTAGTCATGAATAAGATCATTCAATGACGAATCTCCGGGTAACATGGCAGTCGATGACGAACCGGTCTTTTGCTGGTGTATCTTTCGAAGAGAATTTGTCCATTTTGTGCTGTCCAGTGCATGATGATCTCGGTTTCTAGCATCTAACTCTTCTCGCCTTCCGTCGTCTGAAGTATTCATTCCTGGGAGATCTGCGCAACATTCCAAAAAGGAGTTGCATAATTCTGGGAGCGGTTCTTCTCCAGCTGCTCACAGAGTCTTACCAAACAGCTTGCAGTTAGTGGTGCGAGAGAAAAGTCTGTGAAACTGTAATTGTATGCGCCTGACGGAATTGTTTGAGAATCTTGAAGCACTCCGATCAACAAGTGTGGGGGAGACACTTTGTGCTCTTGGTTTGTTCTGATTTGGTCAGTTGAATACTTAAGTTTGTCATCTGCTCAAGATGGAAATCTTTGATTGTAAGACAACTTAGAAACATCTTTTCAATACCCTTACAGCACCCTTTATAGTAACTTTGCAGTAACCCTTTCGGGGTAACCTTACAACAAGCTCATAGCTGCTTCTCATGTCGCTTTTTCATGTCTTGCAAGTTCGCAAATCATCTGCTATGCGATTAGAAGCCTGTCCCTTGTTGCCAGCAGTGCCTGTTAGTTTTCGTAGCTGGAGATGTAGCCTAGTGAAACCAAGCTTCTGTCAAGAATTTGCCTGCTGGCTTGCGGCTTACGGTTCAAGCTGCAGCTGCCGCGAGGATCACTGTCTCCTCAATAGCTGCGAGGAGTCCGACCGCACGCATGGGGTTAAAGCCCTGTCACCTTTGTCGCAGAAGGGTTTTCAATAAATTGCGCCGTATAGCGAACGAGCATCTGGACTGTCCACTTCATCTCGCTGTTCGCTGATTTTTGCTGACCGTCTGGCTATGCTTTACACGGTGAGGCTTTTCAAACCGTTCAGAAGTCGAGTCGAATAGTGCAGCTTGAGTTTGGCACATTCAACATTCACATCCTGCAGACAAGCACACGACGGCTGCTTCAGATATTTTTCTGCGGATCTGCAAGCTGCCATGAAAGTGCTGTTCGTGCGCCGGTCAGAAGCCTAATCCACGGGGCGTGCGGACTCATCTTTGGACTCCGCTATTGTGGCATCCTGAAAGGCGCAAAAGATAGGACGGCAGCGGAGCTTCGCCCAGCCTCGCCTCAAGACCCAGGAGCTCGTTGATCAGCCTGACCAGCACGGTGAAGTCTCGCGCTCCGACCCCACTGACCCCTTCCTGCCTCGTGGCTACGGTGCTCACCTTGGCCAGTGGAGGCATTGCACGGAATAGGCACGGAAGAGCGCTTTTTTGAGGGACGGGATTCGGCCTTTAACTCCCAAATCAACCGTTTTTGCCCACGAGCTTGAACCACAACACCCTCAAACCAGCAGACTCTGTAAGCAGTTGTAGACTGAGCACCTGCAGCTCAAAAAGCAGCCTAGCGACCAGTATGGCGACAACGGCAAAAGCAATCGACTCGACCAGAACGATTTGCTGCGCCTTCGAGAGAGGGAACGTGACATCTAGGGACATGTCACATGTGCATCTCTTTGCACTCTAGAAGCAAAAATTATGAGTACGGCTTCTAGCATATCTGAATATATCTGACCTGGTTCCATCATGGTCCTTCGAGCCCATCTTCGATGATTTCTGCAGTCTTGGAGGCATCGAATTGTGGAGAGGGGAGCCCAGAACCGTATCCAGCAAGCAGTGGACACGAAATCATGACTTTTCCGCTGTTTAAGCAAGGACCTGCGAATCGATTCTTGGCTCGTTGGTATTCTGGCGTAGACGTACCCTTACAGCTTGGCATGTCGTCGGGCCCGGAGGGAATCCTCCTGCCCTCAAGAAAGGCTGAACAAGTGATCATGATTGGCTGGGGACCTACAGTAATCCTGCTCAACCGAATTAAGGAAGATATGTGAAGAGTCTTCATGAACAGCATAGTTCAGAATAAGATATAGTTATGCAGCCGTTTGCACGCACACCGTGCGTGCCCTGCCTGTGTCTGCACCGCGCTGCCATCATTCCCCACCGAAGTCAGCAGCAGCATGCCAAAGGACCTTTAGGAGACACGGCAAGAAGGAGCTGCTGTGAACAGAAAGTAATGCAACATACATTGACAAAGTTAAGGATGCTTCTATGCTGCCTTTGAGGTCAGGTCTGGACATGTGCATTTTCCATCCATTGTTTCTAGCGTCTGCCCAACAAGGCCGCGCAAAACAGAGCTGTGTGAATTGCTGCACTTGGTCCGCGGCGCATCTAGAAAAGCCTGCCCGGAGTGCGGCAAACAAGCAAGCAGACAACCATTCGCACGTATTAGGTATGGCTCAAGATTTTAATTTTCGCCCTGGGCCCTGAACAGCCACCATCCGCATCGAAGCCCCGGCCGTCTTCAAACAGCCAATGAAGTGGGCAGCCGCGAAATCGCCGAGGTCGACATCTAAGGCACCCAAGAGGTACCTGAATCTTATGCGTGCATCTACTGAAGGCAAAGATGGCAACTTGAAACTTCGCAATTGCAGGTGCTCAAGATTGCTGGTCTAATGGTCAGCTACAGATGCAGACAGGCCACCAGTAGGAGTCAAACGGCAAAGGCAGCACCGGCGCCAGTCTTAGCAGCAATGTGAGCCGAGCTCCGTCGTCCTCGCGGCAAGTCGAGTACACGCGACGGGCACACAGCAGGCAGGCGGGCCCCGACACCCCCAGCCCATCCCCCCACTGCCCCCCTCTCTCCACGCACCCGTTCGTTCAACAATTCGTTTAACAAGCTGCAGGCTCATGCGATCCACAATGGCAGGCATTGAAGCAGGTGTAATCCGTCCCCGTGTGCTTTTGAACTAAAGTCCTCTCTTCAATGTACTCAATTAGCATCTGACAGAGCTGAACATTCCAACGAAGGATCGACTCGGAACACTCTTCCGGCCGTGATACAGAATTTCTGTTTTAGTGACTTGAACGTGTGCACTTCTTGTGTGATCGTCTGTTTTCAGACCGCGACCTGCAGTGCAAATTGAAGCAGTGGCTGGTCTGCCACAGCTTCGATGCTGAAAACGGAGCAGGCCTGTTTGTGTTCGGTAACTTCGACTGCTACAACTTCCTGCTTTCATCCTTCCCTTTTCCTTCCTTCCTTGCATTCCTTCCCTGCCTTCCTTACCCCTATTTCCCCATCCTTTTGTGCTTCCAGTCTTCCTTCCGTCCTCCCTTCCGTCCTTCCGCCTTCATCAGGAAATCCTCGAACTCTTCGGCGACGGTGGGATGTCCCGCCGTCCGAACAAGCCATAACCCTGCAACTTCTTAGCAAAACCAATGCAAGCTGGAGGCGACCAGGAAAAGGAACTCCTTTCACCACCAACTGACAAACAAACGAACAAGCCTCTCTCCCGATGCCACTGACATAGCTGCAACCATGCTGTTGCCCTTTCGGATTATCTTGGCGGTCCTTGGCAGCCCGTTCCAAGGAGTAGAACCACGAGGCCTCGACTGGGATTCGTGAAGCAAACGGCCAGCCGCAGGCTTGCCATCCCAGCACCCCAACCTTGCCCACCGGCTCGCTGCCGAAGACAGAGAAACCCCGTAGCCTGTCCTGTGTTTTCAAGCGATGAAGCTTTGAAGAACTTTTTGTTTTGCTGGAATTGCCCGGAGCTGTCCGCCAGGAAGGACCGGCCGATAATGAAGTTGGAGGTGGCCGCCAACGTTTCCGTTGCAGCAGATGCGAGGGCACCTTGCACCAAGCCTGTCCACGCAAAGGCAATGTGACAGTGAGTAGAGCACAAGCCAGCCACGAATTGATTCCACCGGAACCCTTCCAGCAGGATAGCTGTCACCGTGCGGTCGGAAATCAATTTAGATGGACCAGTGCCTCCGAAGATAATCGGAGCCAGCGTTTTCAACGCAATTTGAATGGGCAGAAACTCGGTAAGCATGAACCTTATTTCGCGAACACTCACATAGCCAACCCCTTCGACATCCTTTGACCTCTTCTGCCTTGAATTGCATAGGAGCTATCCTGGCTCGTGGTCATCGGAAAAATTTTCGCTGAGCCTCACAAAACTACACAGCATATATCTGCTCCATGTAAAGTCAGGGGAATTTCCGGTTGGTGGTTTGAGAGCCGACGGCTCGCGAACCAAACCCGGACCACCAAACGTCACATTCATTTGCATCTGCATCCTGTGGCCGTGGTTGTCCTATGTTTCGCGCTTGCAGTTTAGTATTCCACGGTAACCTCCCTTCCCAAAGTCACACCTGCAAGCTCGTAACAGGAAAAGCAAGCTTTTCGCCGAGCCGAGCGTCAAGGGTCAGTGCATCCGCAACCCCAGTCCATCCCAGTCCCAAAATCCCGCTGTGCTCCACGACTTCTGCGTCCAATGTCAGACGCCGATAGGCTAGATGGAACCGGGTGCGAATGATGAGGCCACCACTTTAGCCTGCGGTCGTACACTAGCTAGCACTTCCTAACCGGCCACCTCCCCTAGACACCGCGCCGGCGGGGTTCGTAGCAGCTAAGCTGGGGCTTTAGCTTCCGACCTAACAGCTCGCACGGACAGCTCATTCTTTTTAACTTTGTGGCGAAAGGTCCTTGTCGCCCGGAAAAAACCTCTAGCCTCCGGCTAGCTGATCTCCAGGGTGGGATGGGTGGTCACTTCAAAATTGCCCCCCACTGGCTGTGGGGGCTTTTGAGCACAATAGCCACGGACATAGCAAGATGCTCATGCGTGCCATGTGCTTCCCCGACACCTCGAACACTTCGAAACTAGCGGAAACATCTGCGATGTGTTCCTACTAGTAGCAGACACCTTCGATGTTTAACTACCCGAAACACTGCGATGTTTCACTTAACGGAAGTTTAGCACTAGCATACACGGTGGTACCTCGCACCTCGGCACGAGTGCGTGCACTAGCTAGCACTTGCTAACCCGCCACCTCCCTTCGGCCTCTCTTCTCCTTAGCGGCTACCTCGGCTGGCATTCTCCGCTGGCGCCCTCCTCGGGCTACCCCGCGAGAGCCATTGGCGCAGGGGGCTCCGAGAGCTTCTAGCAGGCCTGGGCCGGTCTAGCGGCTCGGAGGCAATCTGAGACTGCATCACCTCCTCGATGATAACGTGCAGCTCGGCAAGCTGCGTGTGGTTCATGTAGCGAGGCAGCCCTTCAACCCAGGCACCAGCGTCGAAGATGACCAGCCGCCTCGGTGTTCTCACTAGCGGGCTCTTGCGGAGCCGGGGCCGCTTAGATCACAGAACGGAGGGGGAGGGGTCCCTCACCATTAACGCGTGTAGCTACCTTGAGTAGCTTTCACTGCGGTAGCAGCAGCATGCAAAAAGCTGCCCAATCAGCACCTTAGCAGCGAGCCGGGGACGGAGCCCGATCATAACGAGGCTTCCGCCCCATATCAAAACCGTGCATGTGTTCATGCACCTGGGGTCTAGCCGATGACATGCGGGCCTCTCCTTCCAAGACCCTGTTTTAGCACCGGCTCCTCGGGCTTTTCTTGGGTAGCTCGGCTGCTCTCCTCATCGGAGGCGCAGCCTCCTAGCCCTACACGTGCTGCGCCTCTGGTACCAGTAGCTCTTCGATGGAGTCGGGGATTCTTAGGGGACTGTCCGTCCACCGATGACGTGGCTGCTCGGCTGTGTGCTCGGCCTGGACCCGAGAAAGCTTAGCCCTGTCCATTAGCCATGGGATCAGATCGGCTGCAATCTCCCTGCATCTAGCCTGTCCTAGCTGTTCGCCCTTCTGGCAGTCTTAGTGAAGAGCCCCTGGAGTCGGGCAACCCTTCCCGCGAAAGATCTAGCGTAGCTCTCCGAGCTTTCGGGCTTCCATTGTCCTTCGGGGGGGAACTCCATTAGCGAGAGGCCCGTCGGCAGAACCGACCTCTCACTGTGCTCGGTCCAGTATTCCTGGACCCATAATATCGTCATAGTTTGCCACCTTAGCCTGCAGGCAGCCATCGGCCACCAGACGCGGCATCAAGTAGTCGCGGTTGTAGTTAGCATTCGTTTTCAACAGATTGAAGCCCACCTTTAGTCAGGAACTCTCCACGAAGAAGGCGTGCTCCGAATTAGCGACCGGGAGCTCCTTTACTCTGTGTCGGGCCCGAGGTCTTGGTCTTCCTTAGCACCGTAGCCAATCGTCCCTCCACTATCGACACCTAGCCGGGATGATAACTTGGAGGTCCGGCCATCGTAGCGAGGCCCAGGTATTCATTAGCTTGGCCCAGGCCCAGACCTTCCAGCCCACTGCATTGCCAGCATCCAGACCTAACCGTTCCAGTCCCAGTAGACGGGATAGCAGGAGCCTTCTTGATGACAGGGGCACTGTCCGAGAGTAACTCGACGATCTTGTCCTTAGCGGCCCAGACAAACCTTCCATGGGTAACACGCTGCTCCTCCAAAAACTCTGCCACCTTCTCCACCCAGGCGATAGCCTTCGTGCCATTCCGCGCAGGGAATGTGTAGCTCCCGAGACAGCTGCCGCGTCATGTTCGAGGATTCGTCTAGCTCTAGTACGAGGTAGCCGTAGGCCTTATCGAGCACGAGGCGCTGTTTCTTAGCACGTGCCTCCGGCTCGGCCACCTGGGAACCAGCAGCTTCCGCTGCCACCGATGCAGGGACCATAACGTGCTGGTCTGGAACCAATAGACTTAAACCATATGGTCATATGCCTTGACAGACTCTACGAAAGGAGCACTCTTGCTTGGGTCAAGTAGCTGCAAGATCTGGCTGCAACAGGCCTTGTTGGGGTTCTATCATCCTGTTCCCTCCAATCAGACATGTGATTGTGCTGCTTGACTCGAGCAAAGCTGAATGCCACATTTGTGGGGATCTCGGTCGGGACCTGGCGAGAACCCTTCCTCCCCTTCACTGCTGCTCGGCATAGCAGCTGCCAAGCAGGGCTAATCAGCCCTTATCCACTTCACACTTGCCCCCCACTAGCCACGGACATAGCAAGATGCCCATGTATGTGCCATGTGCTTCCCCGATAGCTCGAATACGTTGAGACTAGCGGAGACATCTGCGATGTGCTCCTAGCAAACACCTTCGATGTTTAACTACCCGAAATACCTTCGATGTTTCACCTAACGGAAGTATAGCGCTAGCCCTCGGCACGAGTGCGACAGAAGGAACAGGCCTACCTCCTGACGTCCTTGCATTGTCCGAGCCTTCCCTGATTTTTTTCCCCAACGGTAAATCGTGGGCCAAGCTCACCGGAAAATGCTAAATCCTGTCAGTGTAAAGCTTCAACCCAAATGCCTCGCAACCGACGCTTCAACAGCTACACAGCCTGGAGAATCCGGATGGAATGTTCCTCTTCGACCATGCTGGCTCTTCTTCTTCTTCCCGCTCTGTCTCCCAGAACTGCAGATGCCTTTCCAGGCACGAAGAAGAGTAGCCAAGAAGCAGCTTCTCGGCGACGAAGGCCAGCACATAGAGTCCGATTTTCGTGGCAGTATCATAGGCAGCAACTGACTGAAGTATACTCATCCTCAGCTGCATGATTGGACGTCGCACCATGCAAACGGAGTGACAACAACACAGTCGCTGTGTGTTTTCCACCAATCGGCCGTGAATGGTTCGGAGTTTGGTGTTCGGGCTTTCCCGGCGACAGAGGAACTGCATCCGAGGCGCAGGGATGCACGATCAGGAACCTGAGTCTGAAAACTGAGCACAAAGCCGAAGCCGCCAAAACCCATGGTGGAGCAGAACTAGATGCTAGCTGCTAGCTGAGAGTCCCCCAGAGGCTGCACAGCCTGCTCGACTAGGAAGGCATCAAATCATTTCAGCTCGACTGCGCTCCTGCATCTTAACATTAACTGCACTTATTTCATCCTTCAGCCTCGAAAAACTCGTCCAGGTTGTCGGCAGCCAACAAACGCGGTGCGACCACACGCACCTGACAGCAGCGGACTCTGGTTACTCTAGCTTTCTCCACACAGGGTTGAAGGTTCAAGCCTTGCGTTCTCCAGGCCAAAAGAACTCACAAGTCCGCGCCATCGATGACGTCGAACCAGCCAAACCCAGCAAATTTGCAAGCAGGGCACAAAAACCGCCAGCAGAGCCAAATTTGCATAAACCTCGTGGCGACTGACATGCTGGTGCCAGCTGTCCGGAACTACAGGCAAAGGATCGGCGCACGCGTTGAGTTCTCGTCCCAACGACCGCAGAAAAGCATCATGTTCGGAAATCCGAGTGGCAGTGGTACTGGAGAGTCCGCGTTTCACTGGCGCCTTATCAAAGACGCTGGTGAAGCGCATCCTTGCTGCAGGAACTTGCGAAGTTAGCTGAGGCTTCAAGGCAGGCCAAAACCGAAGGCTCTACAGTCCTGTAGTATGCGATGGTGACGCCGGGCAAGAGCTCCAGCAGATCGGACAACTCCTTTGAGATCCCGGCTTCGACACAGCTGAAGATGTGACAATAGATTGCCCGCCTGGCGGGTGCGGGTCTTTGCCTCACCAGTCTCAGCATTCGCTTTGAGAGCTGTAGCGTTCCTGGACTGAGCTTCTGCATACTCTGCTCTCAGTCTTGCTAGACAGTCGCTCCTCTGCCCCGCACTCCGTGAAACAGCGAGGCTCCTACTTGTGGCCTCAGCGTCCCCTGCTAGATAGGCCATGCGCGCTCGTTATAAACTCAGACTCAGCAGGGCAGCACTCGCTCCAGCAATTGCGAGAGCTCGACAGCCTCCGTGCAGAAACTGGTGAAGCTGACAGCATTGACAGCATCTCTCAAATAACTTACCTGCCTACACCTTACATCTTGCCCACCTCAGGTCGCTTGTCCTCTCGTAAACTCGGAGCATTCCAGATCTCTAGCGCCTCAATTGCTGGCACGAGTCTAACAGGCTCCATCACGGCTGCGAAAAGACATTAAGGCAGCACCATTGACAGTGTGCCTAGATGGTTCAATCCTTGCTGAGCTTAACACTCAATTCAAGATGCCTGCTGAAGTAACATAGCTTCTGTGCTTGCAATTTAGGTGTTTGTGTTTCGGGCCTTCCCAAAGCACCCAAAAGCCACAGGCTTGGTGAACTATGAAATTTGCATATCTTTATTCTTTGGCACGATATGGGGAATGTCAACAGCACCCGAAAAAAGCCAAAACATCCGCATCTTGGTTTATTTGCCGGGTTTGGCATTGGGGAACCCCCAAATCTTCCAAGAGCACCCAAAGTTGGCCCCAAAAACGAGAATGTGACAGCACCCATCCTCTAGCCCGTAATGGCTTTACCTTCAAACTCGGAGCGGGCCCCACGGTACACGATGCAGCGCGCCCTACCGAGGGAGCTGAAGCAAGAGCAGGCTGAACAGAAAAAACTAATGATGTGCTGTCCGCCTTCCCATTCCTTGCCAGCATAATGGAATTTACGCAGATTTATTCATCCATGCATTTTGAACATATAGATACACACGTCACATATGGCAACACCCAAAGATCTAGGTGTCGTAGGCTTTCCATACCATCAAGAGGATCGCGCATCCAAAAGGACCACATATATAGGAACACAGACACAGACATGGATTAAAATTCGTTGCTTCACTCAACATCGCAGGTACCAGGGACGCTTTTCCAGGAGTCCTCCAAGTTCAATGTTCAAATCATGGACAATCTCAAAACATCAAAACACCATCGCATTTGATATGTTTCCTTGAAATGAACATTGAACATCGAAGGTCTGAGGGGAAACTGTCCGAATCCTAAGACCGAATCCTAAGAAGTAAATACAGGGTGATGATTCGGATCGTGTTGACGGTTCCAAGAGGATGATTCGGATCGTGCTGACGGTTCCAAGAGGTGGGTGATGACACAGTTCGTGATGAGGTTCTGATAGGCATTTGGAGGTGATGATACAGATCGTGATGAGGGCTTTGATATTCTTGATGACGGTTCTGTTGGGTAAACAGAGGTGCTGATAGAGTTCGCGATGACTCTTGTAGTAAGGATGCGAGGATGAGACACAAATAGAAAGAAGGTTCTGATAGGTAAATAGAGGTTATGATACAGTGCTGGATGAGGATGATGATATGTACCTAAGGTTGTCATGCAGTTTGTGAGGATGGTACTAGTACAGAATAAGAATGATGACACGGATCATGATCAATATGTAGGGTCTTCTTCTTCGCGTACAGGAAGACGGGTTCTAGACAGTACTTGGCACGAGTGATGTTGGTCTTGGTTGCATAGGAGTAAGCTAAACAACACAGATCTTTGAGGAGGGTAGCATGTGTAGAAAATGTTACATAAACCCATGTGCCTGGGCTTTGTGTCGAACTTTAATTTTAAAAGAATCCTTCTCATGCCTGGTCAAGGAACCAGCTGTACGGTAGCCCGTCCCCACCATGAAGCTTTGGTTTCGATTGTCTCCAACCGAAACAGCAAAGCTGTGTTCATTCGGAAGTAGCACTGCCCTTTCAACGGTCACCACTCCTGCAAAATCAAAAAATCCAAAAAGTCCAATTTTTCGTTCGTGGAGATGCCAGGGCCAATTTTGGTTGGATTTTGGAATTTCTGGTTTTTGGAATTTGGTGTTTTTGGATTCCAAACTCCCATACTCCAAACGCACCAAAATCCAAAATTGCCTTTGGCATCTCCGCGAAAATGTTGGCTTTCTGGACTTGTTGGATGTTGCAGGAATTGTGCTTTCTGTGGCTGCGCATGCTTCCGCCGCGCGCTTGTGCACAAGAGATTTGCATGAGGGGTTTTCCATCAAATGCAAAAAACGAGGGAGGTTAAACTTGTATTTGTTGCCTAAGATATTGACATAAACGGCTTCAAGGTCGAGAAGTTAGCGGTATGTTTTTCGAGAGTTCATACTTCTACACGATGCTGGGTGTGGTTTGTATATATTCGTAAGATATGCATCTCTCACCCAATTGGTGGTCATTGCTATTATCCCCAAAGTAAAACAGTCTTCACGTCTGCAAAATTTAATATGCAAGTCAGTAGTATCGAAATCATATTTGAGGAGATCTCTTAATCAAACATACCATTTTCAATTACTCATGAACATTCCATAGTCAACAAATGTCTTTTCGCTTTAGCATTATCTGGTAAAGTTTTTGTTGACACTTGCCTGGCTTGTAACCAGCGCACATCTATTGGAGAGTGTAGATACATAATGTTCAGCTGATGATGTTTGGACAGCAAGCATTTACATTTACTTACCTTGTATTGAGCATCGATCTAATAATGACGGGAAGCTTGAACATATTTTTTACGTATTGTATTAACCAGTGGACATGCAGGTAGCATGGCATGTGACAGATAAGTCAATGTTGATGAACCCTTGAATACTTGTATAGCTTGTTTGATAATCACACCAAAAGTAGCAATTGCACAGTTGCTCGTCATTGTGCACAAGAGATGCATTCAATGTTGGGTTTTCTATCAGGGAAATATTAGTTAAGTTTAGCTAACTAATAGCTAAGCAACAGTTAAAGTTCAGCTACATGTGACTGAATTACAACTAAATGTGTACTGCACATGGGTTACCATACCGTAGGGTTTTTAATTCGTAATGAAGGTCTAAAGAATATGCCAGTGAAATACTGATCACAAATCACGTGAACATGAAGGAAGAAAACTTAAGAAAACATATGCTTACCGCAAACTAAATGAGACAAAGTGTCGAACATTTGCTTAAATTGACATTGCACATAGTAACATAGCCATCTTTGAACACCAAGTGAGCACACAACGAGGGTTTGCACAAATTCCAAGTGAATACTTTGCTGCAGGGATGTTTTGGCTGGAAGACATGGTTCGTCGTATCAAAGGGAAAACGAAGAGTTAACCACAGAACCCGGACCTTGCTTCAATACCAAGCCACCATGAAGGCTCGTGCTAATGGACCTGTGGCGCTATTGTCATAGCGATAGCAGCATTGTTGTTAATACTGCTATCGCTGCAGCTTGTATTGCCAGAATACGTTTATCTTCCACAAGGCGGATGCAAGCACAATGCTAAGAATCCATGTCCCATATGCATGAATTTTGCTCTCGCTAGTGGAAAGGGTACTGGCGTGGCACTCTTTTTCGCTATGTTACTACTCGATCAGACGCAGTATCATGTACATTCAACACATGCACTTGTGCAAAGCCAACACCGCAAAAAGACAAAGCTGTAAGGACATGCCAGTCCAGGCGGCAATACCGAGCAAAGTTTCATCTCATATGCATAAGTAGCAAGTAGCAAGCGAATCTGAATTGGTTCAACTACAGGTAGTTTTTGTTCTTGTTTATCTAATGTTTTTATATGTCTACCACTTAACTTATACATGCTTGCGTTTAATGGACACTGATTGTGATGAGTAATGTAAACCCCTCTCCCAAAGACATTCTGAAACCACACCAGAATAGCCTAAACTTAAAAGTTTCTTTGTGTCGTACGGGGTGTGAGCTATATCGCCCGTCAAAAGAACCCACACATTGCTTACACGTTTGAATCATGACTCTGGTTTGCTCCTCCTTCCAGCGCGCACAACCCAGGCACATCAGGGGGAAAGCATTTTGTACGCTAACCCCCCCGGCACAACCTGTCACAGTAAGCTTTCACGTTTATTTGATGGTTTCAAGGATTTCCAGCTTGAGTTACAAATGACAAACTATGCAGTTTTCCAGTTTCCTTTGCTCAGCAGACAGCCGTTGACTAAGACTTAAGACATGTTTGTTTCAAACGAAACACAGAAATACATAATCCAAAAAATGAGATTCCGGAAAAAGCCAAAAATCTGGTAAGATGTTTGAGAATGTCGAATTCCGAAATTCCAAAACTTTGTTCTGTAGATGTTGTTGGAACTGTTGGAATCGTTGAACATTTGGGAATATTGGGAATTTCTGGAATTCCGAATTCTAGAAAGTGGTTTCCGAACATTGTGGAGTGCTTGCAAGATTTAGAATTTGGACTTCTTTGCATTCCCAAAAAAGGTCCCCAAACCGTCTTCTCTCTCTCTCTCAGGCATCACTGTCAGGCGGCTGTATGTTTCTCGTCTTGAGATTTTTTGTTTTTTGAAATTAATCTTGTGGGGATTCTTATACATTTGGTCAAGCTGCTTTGCCTTATACATAACTCCTTCGAAACCTAAAGCTGACTAACATTTGCTCAGCGCTTACATTTATAACGACATGTAGCGGGTTTTCAACATCATAGGTTCATACCTGATACAGTAACACATGTTCTAAAACATGCTCTCGATGCCTACTTGATGAAATGTGCAAACATGTCTAGTTACTGGTTTAACAAAAGAAAAGTATATCTGTATTTGCCTAATAGGTGTTTAGCACTTGGTGCGCACAGGCAGCTTATCCAACATTTCATGTTTATTTATCTAAATAGCGCTGATATGTTGTACACAAGCAAGTGCTAAACACTAATGAATGTAGTGGCTGTTCGATTAATACTCGGGCATATACACAGATGTTGACCGAATCTACCAAATCTTAACCATCACGTCGCGTAAGCTTCACAGCCCACTCAGAGCCAAATAGGATTGTAAAACTCTGTGAATAATACGCGTCAATGATATGTGTTAACGATATAACCTATACTTGCTCGATTACTCCTTTCGGGTTTGACTTTGGACTGACATGTGCTTAGCATATGCGCTTTACGTAATTCTATGTGTTTCACGCCTAATTACATAGCAGGCATAGCAAAGCCTGATAGACAAATTCGTTCAGTATTTGATGCTCAGTGTTGACATATGATTATGTTTAATTACCAATCTAAGAGCAACGAGAAGCTTTCCTATTTTATTTTCATCGAACACGTGGTGCAAACGCAACGCTTAATCAACCATTCATTATTATAAACTTCAGATCTACTGGCAAATGAACGATTGTTCATTCATACTCGATCACAAGCAACTGCCGAAATGCTGAAGCCATCTAGCTGATTGTTAACCAGCGTCTCGTGCAACGCTGATTGATATTCAACTGTAATTTGCTTGATGTTTGGCAAACTGTCTGATTCATCTCTTATGAATACTTCAGTAGTATGTGAACCATATTCGGACACACATTGTTTGAAGATAGTTATTGATATAACATTTTATGATGTAGTGACTAACGAGCCCTCGGTTCGCAGGTTCGTCTAGCTTTTTGTCTCTTCACGAATGAAATAAGCGGAAGTTACTATCTAAGAGTGAATTAAGACCAAACTTCTGCATGGTTTTTAATCTCGTTCGTGCAACGACTAGCTATTCCAGTACAGACTGAGTATTAAAAGTTTGTGAATATGTTGTTGTGGTCACTGAGCAGACCTGATTATGAGGCGAAACGAAACGAAAAATTGAATAAATGCTGATCCGATATTAAATGAACACTATCAACTCTCATAAAAGGAATAACACATTTATCGTCACTGCTTTTCGAAAATTAGATAGCCGGTACTGGCAACTCTTACATGCGTCACATAGGCACTCGATGGGCAATATCTAAAAACAAAGCTCCAGAATTCAATGTGAGGCCAAACACTGGTGTGAGGACAAACACTGTGAACTATCCAAAGAATACTTGTCAAAAAATAACTGCATCTTATCCTTAACTGAAGACACAACACATGCGTCGGAACTACTACTCGAATTTTATGTAAATGTTGCATATGCACGTCACCTTGACATGAGAGCAGACAAAACGGCAAGAACGATAGCTACGAAACTGGAACCTGCAGTCTAACAACGTTGTAACATGACGCATATACACTGCAGCACGAAATTTAGCGATGTTTACCGGGTTTTCGGCTGTCATCCGCACAACACAAGGACACACATGAGCAATTACATGGCCGAGGTTGGTCCTGCGGCATGTACACGTCCATACATGGATGCATACACTCATACAGTTTTGGGTCGAACAACTGGCCCCTGTGTTTTGCTAGCTTTGGTCCGCGTAAACCTAGGAATAACGAATCCAAATCTGAACCAAAAAATGCAACAGCCAATACCCTTCAATACCCAAGCCCAACGGCATCAAACCTGTAGGAGATTCCGATTCCAGCACAACAGAAACATATTATGGCATTTGTATATGGGATTATATGGGTATCGCTCCTGTTCTCCAGCTGCTGCTTCCATCCTTCGTTGTCTCTCTACTTCCTCCTTTACGAAGTACCGTCGTCTCCATCAGTTTTGTGAGCAACAAGCACTCTCAGAACAACGTCGAATTCGTCAGTCTCTGAAGGGTCTCTCACCACATCATTTTGCAATGACATTGCAAGCAACCTTGGATACAATCCTTTCAAGTCGTCGTCTGTTCCTACTGCAGCCAACCGCAGGACTCCAGCTGGACATTAAACTCCTTGTGTTGTTGAAAAGAACGTGGTAAGGCCTTCGACAGCACATCATGGACAGACCATGAAAATCACTAACTTGACAACTGAGGGTCATCCCAGAACTCGTATGTCTCATTCCACCACTTTCCCACGGCCTGCAGCAAGATGGTATCTATGCGGATCGGACCTGACTACAAGATCGTCTCGTCTGCTATGCGGGCTTCTTCAAGGATATGCTTCGGGCGAGTAAGGCATCACACAGCATCGGAACGTTGACAAACGGTCACACACTGGAAACTCAGATCGGCCTCTCCTGGGTTCGGGAGTGTCGTGTCAGCTGCAGCACGCTGCGACACCCGCAACACCCGCCGACTGAAAACAGAAAGGGGAAAGGATGGGACAGGCAATGAGGAATCACTGGACAACAGAAGTGGAAGCGGTTGAGAGCCTGGGCACTGGCCCCAACCATGCCACCGGTGCCAAGGCTGCGAGCACCACGGCTAGGGGGCAAAGGCGTCGGAGGCGACGCGCCATGCAGCGCGGGTCACTTGGAGACGGGGTTGGAGAACTTCAGGAATGGCTTAGAGACGGTGGGGCTGAAAGGTTGCGGCTGACGTGAATGTTATTGATGTCCTCTGCCCAAGGCAGGCATCTATAACAAGGCCTGCGCGTTGAGAGCTACGTCTACGTGCGTCGCAAGGACGTAGAAGCTGCATTTGGACTTGGGGGAAACTGCTATATTGGGGTACCGATGAGATCGCATGTCGGACGTTGCAGTGACGCATGCGCTGCCTTGCCGAGCAAAGCTGAGGACACGCATTTCTGTCAAGGTGCTGTGGCCGCTTGCCAAAAGGAACACTCGGCAATAGAAAGGGATGGATTCCAAGTGTCCCTTTTTGCGCTGCACACGTGTCAGGCTGTCTTTCGCCGCCTGGCCGGCACCGGCCAAGATCAGATTCACACCCACGTGCTGATCGTGCTTAGTTGAGCCTGCCTGTCTAAGCTGGGTGGAGACGATCTTCGGGGTGCCACGAATTCAAAGTGGCCATGGAATGCCTGGCCAAGTCCATTGCACAATTGTGCAGCTGTAGGATGTGTGTGAGAGAGAGAGAGAGAGAGAGAGAGCAACAAACATAGAAGATCGAACATTGAAACAGTGCCACTGGATGGAAGACTTTCCAGATCTACCATGAAGCACTCGGGCCTCACCGCGGCTCTCCTGATGAATCCACACATCCACACCTGAGGCATCCAAAAGTGATAATCTTTCTTCAGTCACCCCACGGAGGTTCAAGCTTCCAAGCCCTGCAAAGTGCATCCACTCCGGCACGCCTTGTGATGGAGGCGTGAGTTCTCCAGCATCCTGCATGGCGATGCTCAAATGGACTCACACGGCAATCGCGGCACACGGACTTTGCGATCTCAGAGACCTCAAAGGGCTGGTCAGGAGAGGCAGCATCCTCCTTGCAGGTCGCAGTCCCCACGCACGGGAGGCAACTGCGAGCCGATACAAGCACCACATCCGACCTGCCCGGAGAAATCGGAGCTCTCCGCCAGGCTCGGCTGCAAAGGCAAAGCAGGGATGTGACGACCGTTGCTACTTCAGGCTTCGTACTTAAATTCGCAGGACTGACAAATGGCCGGAGAAACAATGTGAATCCGACTTATCTGACCACCAAAGCTGCACTGCTACCTCCCGAAGTGTGCTTAACACTTCGACAACACGAGTTGCCTCCAAGTCATCGTAAATGTCCTCCGCGTTTTCGCAGCGTTCCTCGGCCGAAACTCCATGCATGCCGGCACATTAAACCAAGACTGGGCTGCACCGATGGTGTCGACACCTGACCTTCTCGCAGCCAAGGTTCGACGCGCTTGTGCTTGTGCACCTTGGCAGAGGCAGGCCTCCATGCACGGTGGTGCCGCTTTGCCTGCGACAGCGTGAGGTCCGCCACTAGCAAAGCTGCTCTCCTCCCGCCTGGGAGGCCGCTGCCTCGTGTGGGACGCTGACAGGGCGCTCCGTCTCCGGAGCCTGGGCTTCAGCGTGAAATGCGGAGGAGTCTACTTGGCGGGTAATGATGGTACGGTAATGATGGATACTGGATCGGCCTGTGCGTCCCCAGAGCTGCAGGGAGCAGGAATCTCGCGATCCACGTGCGGACCCTGGATCCAGGCTTAACAGCATTGCCGATCCCTCAACTCACCACCCTCCCAGCACTGTGCGTTGCAGATGTTGCAGTTCTTATTGCAATGCCTCAACGTCCTCGTAGATGATATCTTCTTCCGGCTCCTGAGCAGCCAAACTCCAGCAAAAGGATTCTGGATGGGAGGCTTGACGAGCTCATGTGAGCTGCATGACCTGGACTCGAAGCCACCTTTTCCCAGGACCTCGTCTTCCCAAAACAATCGTTTCCCTGTTCCAACATCCGATTGTGATTCAACCATGATTACTTGGGAAGGTAAGCTCCAAGAGCTTCATCTGTCTGCATGCTTCCTGCAGCTATCTGCAGCTGCAGCTCCGTTCCTGAGTTCCTGCAGCCCCGGCGTATCCCCGAGGAAACTCTGAGAAGGGGAGCACTCGCTCTGCGTCGAAAACCCTAAACCCTAAAATCCCAATGGCAGAAACCTGCAAACCCAAAACATGTCCCCTGCGCAGCCCACAAACAATTGCTAGGGAAGGAGAATTTTCAGGCTTCCGACAAGTTATGGGAGCAGCAGCGGAGTGGAAGAACGAAGGGATCTGCCGGAGGATTGGACCGGCAGGGTGTTCACCCATGTTCACCCAAGACAACGAGTAACTCTCAAAGAGCAAACAGTTGCCGGCGGCCGTAAATGATGTAGCAACCGTCGAAATACTCCGGCGTTGACGCAGCTTTGCCGGTCGCCTTTTTCAAGGAAAGCTTCAACAACTTCGGGTGTTTGCACTTTCGCCTTCTTGAGCACTGCAAACCGCTGAGAGGATCTGAAAGGCCAAGCGCCTATGTCCTGCTTATCATACTTCGCTTCGGAAGCTCTATTCCGATGAGGTTTAGCCGAGCATCAGCCACCCGCTTGTGTTTGTGGATCTTTGCCGATGCCGGCCTTCCATCACTACTCAGTCCGCCAATGATGGGAACTGTTCGGTCGGGCCTGCGACGCTGATGGCTCGGATACGCTGCGTTGGAAGCACGTGCTGCGACCACTGCCGGCGCATGTGCTGCGACCGCCGCGTGTGATGCTGGCGCGCGGGCTGCATGCGGAACTGGCGCCTGTCAGGGCTGGCTGCTCGGCCCGTGTAGCTGTAGCATAGCCAGGATTCTCCAGTCTTAGTCACAAGGCTCGCCTTCGCTTTCCCTTTTGCCTCCTGCTCAGCGCTTTTCGCCGGCGGGGGGACCCGATAAGGAAGGTTAGCCTGGCAGACTGCGAAATCCGCAAGCACTGCATAGCACATTCTGCTTGTGCCTTTTCACGTTCTTGCAGAGGATGCCGAAGACGGAGGCCTGCACAATGCACTGCACAGCATTGTACAGCTCGAATGGAGAGCCCTGCTCAAAGTCTCGCAGCCTCCCGGCACTGGAGGCTGGCGAGAGCTCGGCCTTGCTCGTTGCTTGGACTGTCTGACCTTCTCAAATCCCGGGCGACTCAGTGGACGACCGTTCGCTTGAGTCGTTAAAGAAGGAGCCCTGCACCAAGAGACACAGTTATGGCTTGAATCCCCATGTGCTCATCTCCCCTGCTGGCTGCGATGGCTGGGCTTTAGTCCTGGTGCATGTGGTTCCCCTGCTGCTCGACCAGAGTTTCATTTTTGTGTTTAGTCATGATGCCGCATCAGCACGGTGACCGACAACCGAACAGGACGCAGCAGATTTCTGCCTCTGCAGATGCGTCTGACATGCTCCATCCTTGGCCATACGAGCGGAAAACCTGACAAATGACCGAGACCTTGCGATTAGTGCTTCGCTGGCAGGGGCAGCGGCTTGGAACAGGACCAGATGAGCTCGAGCGAGCTGCACCTCGCAAACTTGAGGCGCGCATGTGAAAATGTCTTGCTTGCACGAAGCCCAGAAAGCAAAGAGCCATTCTCCAAAAGAGAATATGTATACTTTACATCCACCAAAAAAGCACTGCCGATGTTATCACCAAGTCGGACCCAGCTGGGGGCCCGGACTCCGCGTCGAGGAGGGCCTGGCTGAAGTCAAGGTCGGAGCTCAGAAATCAAAAGAGACCCGTGCGTGAGCGGTTCGCGAACATCCCACAACACACTTCACAGCCGTTCTTCGCCAAAGAGGGTCGAAACAGCCAAAGCTTCGTGTGTGTCTTGCACTCTCTTGCCTTGCGGAGGATGGCCGAGCCCGAGACGAGCTTTGTGCACCTGCTCAAGGAGCTCTCGCGGCTGACGCAGCTCTTAGAGTTTAGGGAAATGTTCTCATGAGCAGGGTTTTCACCAAGACTCCGCTCTACTCGCGTCAATGCTCAATTGATTCTTCCTCATCCCACGGCCCACTTGCTCTCGGACTATGCTTGCATCGCACACTATGCAGGTTGGCTTCACCTCGAAGCCTTGTGCGCGAGGGGAGGATTGGAGGCTCTCATCTCTTCTGTGGGTAAACATATGTTCTCACCTATTTTGCTTTTCCATGATCCGTGTTTTTGAAGGAGTTGCCGGCTCCACCCGAGCACGAGTGATGCGGTCCCAGCAACCTCGATCTGAACAGACTACAACGATGCCAAGAGAGCAGCAAGCGGTGACATGTCACTTGCCTCGGGCACTGCTGCTGCGAGGCTTTGGCGCGTATGCCGCGCATGCCTCGGGCCAACTTGATCCACATTCCAAGGCTCAGGTGGGCTCAAGGGGACGAACCTGTGAGCTAGCTGTTTGTTCCTGCAGCCTTGACACCAGGACTTGGGGCACTGAAGCACTTGAATGTTAGACCGTTTCTAAGCTCGAATGCCGCTCCCTGCCTTGCAACACTTGCTCTTGCCCCGATGCGCCGTCTGGGCTTCCCTACACTTCTGCGCTGAGAAGACGAACTAGAAGAGACCTAGCAGCTGGTCGCAAGAGCTGGGAACGCCTTTGGGTAGTCCCGTGGTCGCCCCACCCAAGAATGGGCGATCCATTCCTTGCAGTTGAGACGCAACCGATCTGGGTACCAATAGCTTGTCACGTATCCAATCCTTCACAACACATCTTCAGGCAAAGTCAAAGTGGCAGGATTGGATGGGACATTCACGAACATCCCGCCATGATTCTCCTGTCTACTCATGAATGCAGGGCTACGCTCTGCTGAAGTCTCCTTCGTCAGCGGTTCGGCGCTCGAATGTGAGCTCGCCTGGACCACGTCACTTGGCATTTTATGCTGTGGTCTGACAGAGCTTCTAGATCTCTTGTCTGTTGGCGAGCCTTGTAGGACAGGATTTCAATCAGCTCCTTGGCATCAACAAGGGGCATACTCACGTATTACAGTCTTCTGTCGGGCCTTGTCCGGCACCGGTGGAAGTGGTGGGACCGCGGCGGGGACCTGTGGCGACAGAGCATAAGACTGCTCTGTCTTTGGCTGAAGACGTGGCCGTTTGTGATCCTGAGCTCGCCACGCGCAGCTGGAGTTGCCCAATGCCGTCCAGTTCAAAGTAGGAAGCATCCAACAAGCAAAGGAGGAACCTTAGTCGGGCCAGGGGCTGCTCAAAGCAACAATTTCGCGCATGCACCGGAACAAGAATGAAGCAATCTAAACATAGACACAAATCCACGATGGCTGCTTAGCTGTCGCATGAGCTACAGAGAAGCCATGTGTCTCAATCGATGTGTTTCATTTGCCCCTGGATCTTCGCCGCAGCTCTAAAGATGCTCCTTCCGTGCCTGTCGGGGGTGCGGCTGTCGATAGCAACGTTTGTCATGGGAGGCACGTTGACACATTGACATGCCGAAGGCATTTTGCAGTCAAGTCCGAGGCCCAGAAGTCTCTGACTATAAGGCCCAGTTCTCACAAGTTACAGATGCTCCCGACTACCTGCACCTGTCCTGCTGTCCTGACAATCTTGAAGGCTCCACAGAGCTAGCACCTCATGGAGCATGACGTTGCATGCTGACCTGTGCTGCGAGTCCATTGTTCGAACCTTTTTTCGGCGATGCGATATTCCTGTGATGTGAGTTACGCACTACATCCTGACTAGACCATACCCCTCGGTCCCGCACTCCCTCAGAGGGTCCCCGTCGGCGAGCGCGTCCTGACGACTCCTTGTGCGGGCGAACTCCATGTAAGGAGCCGAGGAGCCGCCACACCCGCCGCATCGAACTTGAGGACAGGGCCGAGCCAAGCGCTGCCACCAGCTGTCGAACATGACCTGGCATTCTCTTCTCTGGAGCACTTGAGATGCCTGGCAAAAGAAGATCGGACTCGAAACGCCGTCAGCCCAAAGGCAAGAGAACATCAGCTCGCAAGATCAGAAAATGCAGAATCCCATTAACAACCGTTCTGGGTCCAAGGCACATCCCAGAAGGCTTCGAAACCAGCAGCAGTGGCTCTTCTTTTTCACGAGGCGTAGATGTGTTTCGGAGCCAAGCGCTCGGGTCTGGTGGCTTTCGTCGTGCGTTTTACCGCACGCGAACCTGTCACAGGTAACGTCACCTATTTGTCAGAAGTCGTGCCGATCCTTCGGGGAGATGTCTCGCAGTTGCGAGTACGTCAATACAAAAAGTAATTGGCTCCCCTGGTGAGGACAGGCACACTCGGACGGACTGATGTTCAGTCAGGGGCATACATGCGTACTCTATACGGCATGTATTGGCGGGCGCAAACACCTTGCCGGGAGAAGAGGTCGTTTTCAGCCTGGTTCTTGTACCCAATTTCCCCGAAGAGCATTGTTATCGCGTTCGTCCTAGACTTGGGTCAGGATTCCTTCCTTTCGTCCTCCACACTGGCCCAGTGTCTGTTCTTGGGCTCTGGGGGCGCGCTTGCATCCGCGGGATGCAATGAGAGCAGGGCGGACGAAAGCTAGGGACAAGGAGTTGATATGCCGAGGAACAAGAAGGTAGAGAGACGTTAATATTATATGCGGCGTCGGGGCGGCAAACGACGAGCAT